GGCTAAATGTACCATCAGATACACTCAGAAGTCCCCAAAGTCAAAAGAAATTTTCCCAGGGCACAGATTTAGTAATATCTGAGTGAAGACCTTAGGGTTTGTTACATCCCATCTTCCCTTAGGCTCAGATTGAGCTATTGACATAGCTTGCTGTAGCCATACTGGAGCCTCCTGGTCCCAGCACTGTTCTAGTTTGTTTCCTCCTATGGTATCTCAGCAGATCTCCTTCCCCTGCCCTCCCCCCACCCTCCTGTTTTCCCCCACCAGTCCTGCTGAGGTCCTGAAGGGTATTGGGGTTTTTTCCCATGGTTAGTCTATGTTCCTGATGGCCTCCAAGCAGTTTCAAAGATCATTTTGCCTGTTTTTTGGAGCAAATACCATCCATTTGCAAAATATTGCAGCTGTTAGGGATATAATCCATTCTCTGGTGGAGATGCTGCTAGTTTATAGGATATGAGTTACTTTTTCTTAAATTAAAAACAGCTTTTATCCATCATATTCCTTATTTAACCAGTTCTTTTAAATCCATATTGTCTCTAAACCAAACAGAGGCATAGTCCTTTTTATATCAGGGTTTATTAATTTCCCTTATTTTGTCTAGCTCTTCCCTCAAGGACTTGTGTATATCAGGACACATCAAAAACAGATGTTGATAATCCTATGTGTGTTGTTTACACCTCCAGCATTCACTGGGTTCTCCGAATTCCAGATGGCACACAGTCATTCCATTCCATGGATAAGATTAAAATGGTTTAGCTTCAAATTTGCATCTCTGACTGCACTTTGCAATTTTAATTCTCATGTCTAGACCCATGTCTCCATGTCCTTTTCACCTGAAGCATTCCTCTATAGCAGCAATTTTATATCTTGCTTTCTTACTTGTGAGTGGGCAAATGGCTCTTTCAATAAACCTTTGTACCACTGCTCTTTGAATAAACTGCCCATCAGATAGATGGTGGTAAATTTTAGAATTGCTTGTTGGATTAGCACTTTAGATCGCTTAAATAGTGCATAGCATACTTTACATTGCAGCAATGAATCCTGGAAAGGTTTGTAATAGGATTTTCTATGTTCTCCTAATGGTTAAAATTATGTACTAGGTCTATATGGTCTAGTGGACAGGGTACCTGACCAAGTCTTAAGAGACTTGGATTCTATTTCTATCTCTGTCACTGACAACCGCATGACCTTGAACAAATCACTTCACTTTCCTGTGCTTGTGTCCCTTCCTATCTTTTATTTCTCTTGTCTCTTATACAATATTTAGCATTAGGTGGAACCTCTTACTAGTGTAATTCAACCTACGAGTATTAACAATGTAAGAAGAGAAGTGGAAACTGAGTAGGCAAGTGGCCCAAATTTCTCCTGTCATTTACACTATGTAAAGTCAGAGTAACACTTCTTAAGTGATTGCAGTTATTCCACATTTTCAGATGTGTACATGAGAGCACAATATAGCCTAATTCAGTATTTAGACATGTCCCCCTGGCTGGGGGGCAGGGCAGAGATGTGGCAAGTGGCAGTTGGGGTAAACTTCAGCAGGGAAAGTGGTGGGGGCCGTTGGCAGTGTGGGAAGAGGAATCAGCAGCTGGAGCAGTGTACAAGACTGGCTATGAGAGTGGTAGTGGGGCACAAACCCCACAAATCTGGGACATGCTGACCTAATGTGAATTATTTATACTTGTCCGAATGTTCAAGACACTTTATTTGACAAAACAAATCAGAAAGCAAAATATAAACTGTTTAGTATTATAATTCCTAGTAAAATACATGGTTAAACTCGCCTAAATCTGAAATAACTCTGAAGCCAGTGGAATTAGCCATATTTACACCAGTTGAGCTGTTTAAAATTTGGCCCATGGTCTTGGCTTCTTGGAATTTACAATTCTAAGTTGAGCAGACTGAAGAAAGAGAGAGAATAAAAATCACTCCAGTTCTCACCCCTACACTTGAACGTGTTCTTTATTTTTGCAAATGAAATCAATGCAGCACTCAAGCTGCAAAACGACAAAAAGTATACTTAAATTACACAATGGCAATTTCTCATGTCACCATCATTAAAGCAGACGATGCTCACGCTGAGATATCAAAGGAGCCTACTTGACGAGGAGCTAATGTAGGTATACTCTGTACATTTATCACACTCACTGCTTGAAAGGACCTGAACATCATGACATTCATTCATGACCCACCCCTGGAAACAGATCAAATATGCTATTGACGATAAGGGTTACAGGAGAAAGCTTACAGGCTTAGTAATAATGAAACTGGAATCCCAGAGACTAAGGGCCAGATCCAAACATTCTTGAAGGAGGGTCTCAGTCTGGTGCTCTTGAATGGGAAACTTTCCTTTGCTTTAACTGGCTCTTATAAGGACTTAATAACCACCTGCAGCATGTGCCTGCCCAATAGCCAAACTGGTGACGGGGCAAGCAGAGCACCTGCCCCAACACTGATTTAGGGGGGTTGCTAATATGCACCCAGGAGTCTTTGCCATGGCAAGCACAGCTCCATATCCAGTAGCACATCTAGGGTAGGAGGGGGGTGGAATGATGCCCCCTGGGAGGCCTTGCCTTGCCATACCAGGCACAGCCCTGTGCCACCAGTGGGAGAGGGGGTGAAAGGAGCACCAGGAGCAGCCCTTGGGGGAGCCTGTGTTGCTGCCTGTCCCTCAACTGCAGCAGCCTGAGCCTGCTGGAGTGAGGAGAGCCAGGGCAGGTAAGACTCCTTGACCCTGCCCCCAACTCTCCAGTACTCAGCATAATTCCCCACCCACCACCTCTGCCCCAGAGCTACCTACCCCTACCTGCCTGCTTCTTCTGCTCCCTCCACACACCCTATTCACCAGATCTGAGCCATTCAGAGTCCCAGAAAGGCCATCTGGGCTGACTACCACCAGTAAAAACAATGTCAATCTAAGTATTGATCCACTGCTGCTCCTCTGAGGCCCTACTGCCCAAAAAAGGCTAGGCAGGTCAGAGCAGGGATATCTCCTACCTAGCCTTGCCCAGGCGTCTGCTCTAACTACTGCTGTGGGGCTGTCGCCCCCTCACTGGCCATTCCCTAAAGGGGTCCCTGCTTCAGCCCGTGACTGCCCAGCGATGAGCAGGCCACAATGAACATGGGAAAGGGGCCAGGATCTCTCTGCCTGGGGCTAAGAGGAGTGTGGAGAGGACCAGGTGGCTACAGCCCCAGCCAGCAGGACCTAGGGGCAGGGGCGGAGGGCACTTGTGCTCACCCAGCTGTTTGCCTCCTGCTGCCCATATAGGGTTGCCAACTCTGCATTGGGTGACTGGTGGCACGTTAGCCAGGAGAGGCACATGCATCCCCAGCAACCAGTCAGTGACCACGGCCAATCTTGCCGACCATACACCCCCTACACATCGCTACTGTCTGTTTGAATCTAGTCTGGGAGGTTTCATCATAAGATGTAATGACATTAATACTCTATACAGTGTAGACTTCATGTCAGGAAGGCAAATGTACATTACTATTAGATTTTAAAAACCCAATGGACTACGGTAAAAATTGGATTCAACATTTAATATTATTTATTTTAATGAATGCCCTATCATCCATCTCCCAGGTGACTCTTAGCATCTCCTGGAGATTTATACCTATTTTATATACACACACATACACACACACATAAAATATATAGATTTATAGAAGAAATCTATATTGTATAAATATCCAGGCAGTCCTCGACTTAGGTTTCGAGTTACGTTTCGCACTTACAACATTTCTAAATTGACACCCTGTTTCAACTTTCTGACATCATTTTTGACTTTACAACGCTTGATCGGATGTGATGCCACGCCAGTGAACAAGTCACTGTGTCACCCATCTCTCTGGAGAACATCTGTCCAAACTTCCTTGGACACTTTCTTTAAGAAAGCAGACGACTCCAGAAACACTTGCAGCCAGGACTCCTGAGAAGACTCCAGCCAAGAACCCTTCAAAAAGTCCAGCAAAGTCACCTCAATGAAGTCCTTCCAAATCAATATGATTGCTATTTAAAATATAAATGCATTAATGTAGCTATATTACTCATCTATAATTGATCGAGTACAAAATTCTGGGTTATTTTTGGTGAAAACAGGGTATCGGGCCTTGGTTCAGGAACCAATCCCCCATTTATAACATTGTTTCCTATGGGAAAATCAGTTCCAAGTTACAACGGTTTGGCTTAAGACGCTCATTTCAGGAACCAATTGTGTCGTAAGTCCGAGGACTGCCTGTAGATTTATAGGAAAAGATGTATATATCTAATTCCTGGAGACCCTAGGGCAAACCTGGAGGGTCGGCAACCCCATGCTCAGACAGTTTCACTGGTCTGCGTCCCTCGACTCCTTCAGGGGGCAGTGGGTGCTGGTCCGCGTGCTGTGCTGATGCCCCGGCCCGGTGATTAACCTATGACCTCAGCCCCGTCCCTGTTTTCCTGTTTGTTGTCCCACGCAATGAATCGGTATCAGTGGAGACACGCAGGGGGTACGTGAGGGTGCACATGCACACCCTGGGAGCGCTGGCACGCACGCTCCTCACTTAGGTGACGGACAGGGGGACGGTGGGAGCGCTGGTGCCGGCTGAGGAGCAGGTGCACCCAGACACTTCTGGAAGTTGGTGAGTGAGAGCGGCCGTGGCGGGGGCCCCCCCCCCCCCCCCCCCGCCGGCCCGGGGGGGGGGGGCACGTGCCCTCCTGACTAAGGTGGCACCAGTCGCCCACGATCGGTATAATGTTCCCAGCGACCTCCTTTCTTAAGGGGTACTTATAGTTTCCGCAGTGGACTGAGGCCCAGGACATCAGGGCCACGAACCACGCACAGAGCCGGCCGGGGCTCAAGGCCGACCCCAGGGCGGGTGGCGGGGCCGGGGCCG